CGTAAACGATATTTGCTCCCCATGTATTTATTATGAGAGTTCAATTTGGTTTCTCTTTTCCGAGTTCGTTTGGCTCTTCTACCCGACCAATTGTCATGATTGAGGTCTCAAATTGAAGGTATGCACTCACAGATTTGCCATCAAGCATCAGCATATATTTATCTATAATCCCACTCGTTGTATACATAAACGATATTTGCTCCCCATGTATTTTTATTAGAAATCCATCCATGTAAATGGAAATTCCCTTAGTCTGCAGGATTGCTGCTGCGGGGGTACTTCAGGTATTAAGAGAGACTAAATTCCAACTTTATCCCTCTGTAGCTCGTAAACGTATATCAAAATTTACTAAAGAATAAAAAAGTCTCAGATTTTCATTTGCTATCCAAAAATACCATAAAATACAGGGTATTATCAAGAAAACCCTAAGTTGGGCCGACAGTGTCATTCGGAGACTTCTAATTGACTATAATGAAGGTTTACTAATCGAAAAATTTGTTCTGTTCATTAAATACAATTATAAATGCCTCAAATTCAATTTAACGTTTGTTTAATTATTATGAAATTAAACTGTCATAACCTAACCAAACTAATCAGACTTGCTGATAGTGAAAAATCGAATGAAGGTTTAATCGGATAAACAGTTCTGTTCATAAAATAAAACTATAAATGGCTCAAATTCAATTTTATAATGTTTTAATTATAAAATTCAAATGCCATAACCTAATCTAACCAATAAACTTGCTGATAATGAAACAAATTCTAGACAAAAGGTTAGTGCTATCGGAAGGATTCGAACCCGGCCCACCCGTTTAGCAGCCCAGCACTCTATCCACAATGCCTTTTTTTTGTTAGGGAGGTGTAAAGCCACCGAAGCCGATGACGGTCATTTATATCGTTCCGGTATGGTGTTCCCTCAGCCAATCAGAAGCCTACAAATGACACTGTTGGCAAAATTAATCCTGAAATAAAAATTCAGCGTTTTGCTTAGTTTTTAACCTCTTTCAAAACAAGGGAATGTTCCCAGGTAAACAAAGGACTTGTAACATGTGTCCATAACAAGCCATCCTTAGTAGACTAACAATTAACAAAATACAGTACAAATAGACTATCATCAGTTGACACATCTCAGTTGAATCAAACAACTATTGAGCAAAGATTACACTGAAGATTTCACGATATGGGGGGAAATAGTCGTGATTTAATATTGATTATCTTGCTTAAATGCCACCCACTAAAACTAAATCCCTATGTACTGAAGCAATTTATTGTTAGCAAAGTTTAATTTACAGTATCTATGAAATAAATATTTTAAAACATTATACTTATTTGAAGTAAATTATAATTACAAAGAATTTTCAATCAGCTGTTTTTAATTTACCAACTGTCAACATGACTTCCATCCAAAGATATTACTATGTAAACGAGTAATTTTAGCATTGATTTTAAGTAATGCAATTAATCATCGTATTTTGCTATAAAATATAGAGCGAGTGTTAATGAGTGTTTTGTGTTGGTGACGTTTGAGTGCAATTGCGTCAACTCAATGTTTTACTCGTATGGTGAAGAGTAGATTTTACAATTTGTATGCACTTTGCTTATATTTTACATAATATGGACAGCTGTAAAACACGAACGATAAGGAAACGTATACTTGCTTTGTGATAATTGCAGAGGAAACCCCTCTAAGGGTGAATAAAACTAGCACGTCAAGGACATTAAATCTGTGTTTTCATAAAAGTCTAGTGGTTTCAGGAGAATAGGACTACTCCAAAGAAACCTTTATTAAAACTTACATTGAAGGATTCAAATATTTACAGTTAAGGTAAAACAAACTGCATAACATTAGGCCCCTTAACTCTGCATTGTCTCCGGTAAATAATTTAATTGATGTTAATACAGCAAACAACCAAAGTAATGTCTATTGAAGCCAATTAACTTGTGACACCCACATAAAGGAGTATATCGGGTAGTACCTGAGTATAGAGAATAATTTGTATGGCTATTATTTAAAAATTACTGAAACTCTTAACTATACTCGCGTCAATGGTTATGAAAATGTAAACAAATCGATTGTAAACATAAGCTGGTAACAAATCATCTACACTACAGTAGTAAATTAGGAAATGACAGAATAAAGGAAAAGGACATTTCCATGAATACTATTGAAAATTGCTTATATAATACATTTGGAGAGTATAATGTATTACTTACCAAATTAATAATTACGTCTGTTCAAAAACGTTAAGTGTTTTAACGATTTTGAGAGACGATGAATTACATACCATACAGTGGCTACAGTGAATTACCTTAAAGCTAACACGCATTGTAATTACGTGAACTTTTTTTTTTAATTTCCCATTTTTTTGCTCGCATCTACGACAGTGGCATTGTTGTAATGAAGTATGAAGTCAAACACTTTTTAGGGAAAGCTGTCCAAACCCATTATCGTTTTGTGGATGTGCCGGGGATTGAAACCGTCCCTCCCACACTGAAGTCCGAAACGCTAACTACTGTTAATACTGTTCGATGAAATGGCGACCATACATAGTAGGTATTTTAAGCCAAGTATGAGTATGAGTATGAGTGTATGATGAGTGGTGCGATCATGTAGTCTTGTTAGTGACTGAGGCCGACATTCCTTAGACACAGCTGTTAATTAATAGCCCATACAGCTAACGGCAACTAAGGGACCTACAGTTTATAGTGGAATCCGAACCACATTTTTTCCTTGGTATATACGAATTGGTCTACTGTAATTATCAGGATAGTACTGCGGATAGTCGTAGTACTCACTCGTGCGGACGTTAATCCACACCAGGGAGTATCACATCCACAGTGCATGCCTATAAATATCCACAATTCGTGACCTCCTAGTAGCTGGATTACAGGACGACGCCACCCGTCCCATTCTAGGCTAGCAACACAACCAACTGTATGTTTTATACAGTAGGTCAATAACGGCATACTAGTTGACTTTCAAAGTCAAAGAAATAGATAGCTAGGGTACACAAACATATGGCTTAACACCAAAACTCACCTTTTTGGGCGATAAATAGTGATTTTGTAAGTTGATTTGTATTGTGTATTTGTCAAAACGAAATCCGTTGAAATTTTGAAATGCTATAACGCATTATAATTACGTGAACAATCTTTAGATTTTTCCTTATTTTTGATTATAGGGCGTGAAACGGTATACTAAATGGTATTATAGAATGGAATGTTAAAATAGTATAGAATGTTTTATTTTAGTGTAGAAGGCATAGATTGTAATACGTGTTACGTATATTTTAACGAGGGGCATAAACGGTACAGTTGTGCAACGGTATGCAGGTCCAAACACATATAGATCGACACAGAAACTAATATTTTAGAATAAATAAAACTTTGAAAGTTGGCCTAAATCGGCAGCTCTACCAGGACAATGTACAAAATGTAGAAATTGGTCAAATATTGCCTAAAACGTCAAGACACACTTTTAATAGAATATAATAAATTTATAATCAAATATAGCTGAAAGGCATGGTTGTTATTATACATATAAATAGCAAAATAAAAAAGTACATAAATATAGGGTAGATGCCTGAGTTTTACACAACTTTTTTTGTAATAATAGGAATAGTTATAATGGGTGTATTACTTTTATTCTTAATTGGTAGATAAATTATTATAATGTTACTTAAAATTTATAAAATAACTTTGAAATCTCATTTAGTCACAAATAACCCACAATATTACGCCACATAAAGTGTGTTCTTCACACGGGGGTATTACAAAAAAATAATATACAAGTATATTTAAATTGCAATCAGCTTACTAGTAAATAACTCCTTAAGAATAGCAGTAGTATATTAGTTCTCCAGGTCCTTGAAATGTGTTTTCGCAAAATAGTTTTTTAAGTCCTCAAAAAGTAAAAAGTGCCGTGACAGGATACACGAGTCCTCAAAATGACGTTTTCATAACTTAAAATGTACCTTTTGACGACCTGGCTCGGGGACTTCCAGGTCCCGAAAAGGTGGCACGGCGAGCAGTTACGCCAAATAGTATAAGTTCTCAAAAAGTAAAAATCGTCGTGACAGGATATACAGAGTCCTCAAAATGTCGTTTTTGTGACTGAAAATAGACCTTTTGAGGACCTGGCTCGGGGACTTGCAGGTCCCGAAAAGGTGGCGTAGCGAGCCGTTAGGTGCTCGAAAGGTGTCATACTTAAATCTATATATATATATATATATATATATATAGATATATAAAAATTTGAACGAATGGTGTTTTTGGCCTCTGGGGACATCAAAATGAAAAAGTAAATCGGTCCCGGGCTTAGGTCTTACCATGAGACCTACGGTAATAGCTACTTCCCTATAGGGAAATTCGCTAAAATGTTTTCACCCAATAACAATGTTGATAAGATTAACCATACAGATACTACCGGTACTGGAACTTATAAATTAAAATTTAAAATCATTTAACAAATTGTTTTATAAAAAAATTATCTCAGTCCGTCATATTTTTTAGGAAAAAACTTCTCATTGGGAAATATTGATAAATGATAAGTAAACATTAATAAGTGTAATAAAATATCGCAAAATCGACATAATTTTTATAAAAAAGTAGGAAAGTAGGACAAATGTGTAAAAAGTAGGACTTTTCCTACTTTCCTACTAAAAAGTAGGAAAAGTAGGAAAAGTAGGACGACTTGGAGGCCTGCTACTATGGTGCTACTACTAATAATTTCTTAGTGCATAAATAATAGCCTACTCCAAAACAGTGGTTCAGATGTATCTACACATTTTTTTTGTAAACATATTATTCATGCACCAAAAAGCCATAAGGTCTATTAAAAAGTCCAGAAACAAAAAAAAATCTCATTTTACAAATAGTGGTGGAGTTGAAGTATTCAGTACATGAATGCTCACCATTGTCTTGATAAAAGCACAGGTTTACTATTGAAATACAAGATTTTAGGAAAAAGCAAAGAACACCTCTGAATATGAACAACTTACACAGGTCCATTTGGCCTAGGTGTGACACCGAGCCCTCCAAGACCGACTTCTGTCAGGTTCACGATGAAGTCTTGGATCAGATTTTCAAATGGGACAACTTGTCTGCCCCTCCCACCCCTGAAAAACATGAATACATTTCAGTTACAAAATGGCTTGATAAATATCATCAACTGTAGTGGCTACACCTGGAAGCTTTAATGAACTCTGTATTTAGTAGTCAGTTTTTTTTTACAATTCACTGAACTAAGATTTATAAATACTGAAATGGATTACTCAGAAAGCATTTTTAAAGCTACACGAAAAGGAATAAAATGTCAGATAGTCCATGTACTAAATTAGTAACCTACCATTTATTTTAGAAAACCATTAGTGCAAGGTTTAAGTATATGGCTTGATTAGACGGTCGGCTCAATAAGTCTTGAGTGTGTTACGTGAAAATCAGGCAAGTTAGAATTCATATGATAAGGGTTTCAGGTTAAAACGTTGAATTAACATAATTCATATGTTTTGTCAGAACACGAGGAAAACTAGCATCTTATTTTCAGCTCCAGTTTAACAGAAACACATGTTAATGACATTGTGAGATGGCTTTGCTCTCTTTTTTCTATATAAATAATTTATCTAGAAATCTTTCATAAAAAATTATCTTATATGACAACTACACTGCTCGACACAACTGCAATTAAGTCTCATAGTGAATTTGAGTATAAAATTACTCAAACTTTCTTTGAATTGGCAAGCTGGTTTAAAGCTAATGGACTAAAACTTAATCAAGATAAAAGTCAACAATTTTTTCGTACTGCTCAGTCTAAAGAAGGTTACAATTCAGAAATCATCTTTCAGGATCAGTTGATACCACTTAGTAACAGTGCAAAATCCCTTGGTTTGGAACTGGATATAAATTTTTCTTGGAGTAACTGTATTGATAATATTATTAGTAAACTAAATTCAGCCTGTTATCAAATGCTAGTACTACGTAACTTTGGCCTTAAAACTAGAATTAATATTTACCATGCTTTCTTTTTTTTCAATTTTGAACTGTGGGATTGAGTTCTGGGGGTTATCCTGTGATTCAGCTAAAGTTTTTAAATTACAAAAAAAGTTTCCAAGTTATAACTTTCTCAATTTTATGAAATCTTGTAAATCACTGTTTAGGAAATTGAAAATCTTAACTGTTCCAAATTTATACAGATTCAAAACATTAGTAATGGTACAATCTAATTATAAAAACTTTTAAAATCACAATGACCACAGACATAAAAGGTTCAAAACAGATTTTCAGTTACCAATCCATTGTCTGCGTCTCATTGAAAAGACACCAACATAGGCCTACATGGGAAAGAAGTTCTACAATAAGTAACCAGCAGGTTTAAAAAATATAGCCAATACAATTACATTAAAAAGAATTTGTCAAAGTTTTTAATAGAAAAAAAAAATACTACCATATTAGTGAGTATTTATTGTAAAATACTTTTAAAATCAAAGTCAGCCTTTTATTTTTAACTTTAGAATTTAAGATTGACCTACTATGTACCATTTATTATAATTTGACAACGTCACCCGTTTTATAGCCATGCTGTCTACAAACGTTCTTGTGACAATAAAGGTTGATTTGATTAGGCCTAGTGAACACCCAGACCCGGAGATAACCGGAACGGGGGAGGATATGTAAGTATGTATGCATTATTATGGTAAGACACTTTTCCAAAATTTCAAAGAGTATACAATTGTAGGTTGCACAACAAACTGACCTCCTGCGCTCGCCTCGGTTCCTGTGGCCTCGGTTACCCCTCCTGTACGCCCCAGAGCCACCACTGAGCCCGATGAGCATGTCATTGAGTAGCTGCAAACAAAACAAGCATACCAGGTAGTTTGAGCATCCTCAGAAAACTGGGTTAGTAGCAAAATAAATTATACAAGGCTAAATTTTAGTTTGGTTCATAAATTTAATTTTAACAAATTCGATGTTGTTTTTTTTTTTTCAGAAAAGGTTGCCTTTTGAAGAAACCATAGTGAGATGACATTTACTGTAAATCCAGATCCTTGTTTATCATGCTCATAAGGCATATGATTAAAATCGTATTTCATTTTTTATGCGTGACGCAAAGCTGAACAGGAGAGAGTGAGTGTCAGGGAAGTGTCCTTGGTAGCTGAGGACGGGAATAATTGGAGCTGGTGCCGGGAAATCACTTTTGGTACAAGTTATGAACGATACTTTTCTTCACAAGGCAAATGCCTAATTCTGTTTACATTTAGACTGTTACAATGTAAAAACAGCTGATTAAAATTAATGGTAAAGTGCATATGCACTAAAGTAGTGAACAAATCTAGACTTGGAGGAAGGGAAAATCAGCTAGATTAATTTTAAATAAATAATCTAAATGTAATAAAATAAATAAAATGTCATATAGGTTGTTTGTTTTTTTTAAGTTATTTATTGAGCGAGAGTGAATAAAGTGGAAATGGGCGGTTTTGCGTACTGTTTACAGGTGTTGAAATGTGATCTTAAAGCAATAGTAGGAAATAGTAGTTTACGCAACGATTGCGTTAAGTGAGTCTTTACGACACAAGTAGAAAATTTAAGGCACGAGCCTTGGCGAGTGCCTTAAAAACTTCTACGAGTGTCGTAAAGACTATTAACGCGAGTTGCGTACACTACTTTACCTACGACCGTTTTTTAATTACTATCAATCTGGATTTAATTACTAACAATCACTAATGATAACTTTTTAGAGAGGTTATGTTTTCGTGTATTGTCATTGCCACTGAAAGTGATGCAACGACTTGTTGTATAATCAGCTGATTTCCTGTAATTACGTGTTTGTTAAACTTCGTTAAATATTACATTGCTAGCAGCATTCTTACCATAAATAATATTGTATCTGGTACGATTCGGCAAATATTTCATTTATTTTTGGACTTCCACCAACTTAATTAAGAATACGCGAGTATCAACATGAACAAGTCGGATCAACAATTAAATTGGTCAACTGATCAGCTGATCAGCTGATTAGTTGACGTTCGAAGCATTACAATTCTAATTCTTTTCTCTCAATACTTGAACCTCATTGGTCCGTTACCTGTGTGGATATGAGAAAACTATGCGGATATGAAATGAAACTATGCGGATATGAAAGTAAACAGCTGTAAAGTGAAACTTTTCAATTCTAAGAACTGGACTGAAATGGCTACTTTAAAAAACGGTCGTAGGTAATAGTTATTTACGTAACTAGTGGGAATAGTGGCACTTTGCTGCACACGAGAGAAAGGTTTACACACAATGTGCAAGAACTAAAAATGTGTGCAGTATGAAAATTTTCTCGAGTGCAGCAAAGGCAATTTGCACTCGTGTTACACATTATACCGGGTGTCCACAAAGTCTTGGTTTGATTTAATAGCTTTACGAAAACCATTAGAGCCACACTTAACTTGCATGTCTTGTTTTGAAGGGTTTAATAAAGTTTTTATTCAAGTTGGTAACACCTAAACGCAGCTGCTGATTGACAAAAATACAGATATTATACAATACAATAACAAACCAGAAATGGTAAGTTTACAACATAAATCACAATGTATTTTATTGTTTCACGAAACCCAATTCCCCATAGCAGTTCGACGACCTTCCATTTAAGTGTGATGGTTAACAGACACAATTGTAGAATTTGGAGCATTGAAAATCCCAGAATTGTGATTGAAAATGAAAGGGACAGTCCAAAACTAAATGTTTGGTGTATAGGAAGATAGGGGAAGGACACGGCGACATTCAGTCTAGACCTACACCCTGAACTCGCAGCCGTGCCGAGAGTTGTATGGCCATACAGTGTTATTCGTATGTAAAAATGTTTGTTTGTATTCGTTTTTGTTATTTATTCGTCCCGTTAATGTGTTTTGAAGACTTAATGACGATCTCCTAGGAGCGACAACCACATCTAGGCTTAACAATGACACCATAAGTGTGTCGAAACCTGTAGCCATTAAGACTAGGCCTACCAAGGATTACGTTGGCATCAAGGTATTTAAACTCTAGATTTGTAATTGTTACCTAATCCGGAAGGCGACACCCAGAAATGAATATTTCAGTTTGTTTGAAGCATATTTTCTAAAAACATGTCATGCAATGCAATGCTACTTTGGTATAAGCAATCAGTAATGTAAAATCAAGCCTACTTTTAAAACATTCTTTTAAAACGTTAAATATGTTTTAATTATATATATATAAATACTCACATCAAATGGCTGAACAACTTCCATATCGCTGTCGCTTTCCTCGCTTGGTTCCGGTTGGTTTTCAAGAGCTTCAATGAACCCACTTTGACATGTTGGACACGTGTAGTCCTACGACAGAAACAACAACAACAATAACAGACATTGTGGCTCCCCCTCTTCTTGTCCGGCAACAAGTTACAAAGTTTGCTTGAGTCCAACTACTACAATACTGATGTATACCACATGGCACTCCTACTTATATAGTGATTCCAAGATAACCACAATCAGTTAAGGATAACACTTACTATCTTACAATGTTAATTATTCAGGATTTAATTGGGTTAATCGCCGTTTTTATATTTGCACTAATTGTCTTGCTTGATGTTGAAATAGTTAGCAAGTAGACAGTTACTCTTCTTTACTGTACAGTAAGTAAAAGTGGTTTAATGTGAGCTTTTAAATATGCATTAATAGCATTTTCTTACAGTTTTAAACCTGGTAACGGTAACCATAAACTATTTATTAATTTTAAATAAAATACCGTTTCCTATAGCCTATGGTAAAATTATTCTAACATTCGGTTTGAACGAGGTAACGGTATAAGTTACTAGGTAGATTGGTTTATTAGCTAATTAAAACAGTGTAATACCATAGATAAAATATACTCCCTTAGGAGATTTGTCCTTACCGGACATAAAACATCCTTATGGGTTACCTCAAGACAATTTTATTGTTAGTTCCGTTCAATGCCACTAGGATCTTGTTTTTATTAACAATTTGTTTCTTGTTAATTCAGTTTTTTTTAAACCTTGTTTAGCCAAATAAAACAATCTATAATCAACGAAAATAACTCGTCCCATAGTAATATGACCAAACAGTAAAGCACAAACTATTAAATTAACCCTAAAATAATTAAACAAAATGTTTTGACAAGTGTCTGTTAGTGTGATAGCTCAAGTAAAATGATCTGATTCTATGAAATTTGGTACAATAACAGGTAAACCTAGAAGTTTATTCAAACCAGAATTATCTAACTATGAGAACGGGTGTTTTTGAGGGGTTTTATTGGGTAAAAATTTGTTTTTTTCTTCCAGCTATCGACTATTCCAAACTGATTCCCTATTGAACATCAAATAAAAAGTTACTTACCATGATAATTACAAAGAAATGAGTTAGGTACACTAGAAGTACGATACAAGAAGAATATTTAAAAGAAACCAAAATTTAAGCGAAGCAACTGATCTGGACAGTGACTAGTCTGCGAGACAAATCTCACAAATAACTTGTTCCATTGCTCCAGGAGCTTAAGCCTCGGGACATGCATTTTATCTTTCCCAATTGATAAGACTTATGTGTTTGTTTCCTAGATGATATAGGTAAGATAGTTGTTATCTACAATATCATAGATAGGCATACTATTAACTATGTGATAACTTAATACTGTCACAAAAACATTTGGCCCCAAATAGGCCTAAAATGTTACAACTTGATAGTTTGTTTTATTGTTTGACAAATTCAATAGGAACTTGTGATAAATAAAATAGCTTGGATAAATTTACAGAGATTATAGCTTTTATTGCTGCCAGTTTGTATGACTAGGAAAATTAAGCAATTTGGACTGATATTTTTGAGAAAAATCTGCATAACACAGCAATCAATCGTATGTTCTTCAACTTGTCAAAGGTGATGTAATTTTTCCCTGTGCTAAGCTAAATAACAAGCTATTTAATGATACCTAAAATAAATAATTTCATGGAATAACAACTTGGATTCCTTGAAGGCAGATTGACATTAGTACGACAGATTTAGAAGAAAAATCTCCGGTCTCTAGGTGAAGACTAGACTTTGAAATAACAAATCTAGCAACGAGTTTCGGCAATGCACTCTTGAAAAAAAATTAGGGTTTTACTTTGAAAGGACATATTAAAGCGTTTGAATATTAGACTAAAAATAAACTGTAATCTTGAACAATTCAATTCAAAGATACTTTATTCACAATATATACAAAAGCAAGAAAAGCTTTTAGGCCTATAGCTAGATAAGACATGGGAATGTTGAGTGTGACGTCCAAAATATAATTTTTGAGCTGTCTCACGACATCCAAATAATCTATTCGACTGTTGCACGAGGTCCAAATCTCATCATGTCCAAAAGTACAGTTTCAACTGCGACGCTACTTTCTACGCACTGGAAAAAAAAAAATTAAAAGTGCGTGCAGTCGCAAACGTTTGCCGGGGATAGCTCAGCCTACATTGGCTGGGTAAAGTTCCAGGGTCTGCGATAAGGTCAGGGAAACCACTAGGCCAAAAGCCGGGTCTAACCGGTATAGGACTGGCTCATACACCGGCACTGTGAACAAGTAAAAAACAAGTCACCAAAACAAACGTGCAATAATCACCACCAGGCCTACGCCGATTCTCCACACTCCTAGGGGGTCGTTGCTGACTACGCAAATCGGGCTTCGTTCTAACCATCCAATAGTTAAGCCCAGAGTGCATAAAACACAGTGAGTTTCACGATGACTTGCCAATAAAAACCACAACGCGAGTTATCACCATAGGCGGGGTCTACTAGGCCACTATAATCCAATACACAACTCTATTGCCCAAGCTAAGAATCAAACGGTTCACTCAATAACAATACCATATAATAATACAAGTATACTATAGGCAGAATGACTAAACCTCTAGTAGCTGGTCTCAATAAATACCAAGCTAAACAAGCAAAACTAGATGTCACTTGCACTACTATTAAATTATTGAGCTACTTAGTAGCAGGTAAATAAATATTAAATACGTTCCAAACACTAGATAAATATATTATCTGATAGCCGGTACTCCGCTATCCAAGCTACCAAGATAACGTGTTGGATTACCGAACAAGCTGTTCCGGTTAAATTAAAATAATCAAATGATTAAACAATAACAACCCTACTACTGCTACTGCTACTACCAACTTTATATTACTTAGCTGGGCTTCTGTTAATAGGCTAATAATATTAGCTACTAGCCTACTGGCCACGTGCTTCCAACTATGCACGCTGAATCGTGCAGCCTCAGCCTAGGTTTGTCGGGCCTCAGAGTTATTAGTAATGTAACTAACTCTTGGTACAACGCAAAATAATATCTACTACATTCAATCAAATATATTATTTGCGCTTTAGCACCTGCCCAGAACCGTCAGGAATATACTTTAATATTATTCCTGACTAATAAATAAATCCTAACTACCGTCAGGCTTTGACCAGCACGGTTGCAACTCTAACTCTCGCAATAAAACCAAACTAGTGTACATGTTGCTCGAATTCGAGCAATTGCAAAGTATTACAGGAGTTATTTCAAAACGAATAACAGTCATATTTACAATGAGTTCAAAGAGTCAACTCAAAGATTACCGGTGTGTAACTCATGGAGGTACTCACGATGTATATAACAGTAATCAACATTTCCTGTAAATTTATATCATATTTCATAACCTGGTATTGCTTTTTAATGTTTTCTACAAACATTTCCTGACTTATAGCCATATAAGGTTGTCCATGTTTATCTTCGTTATTGATAAACCTAAAGCATTCCGGCCGGTTTTCTCCTTCTCAAATTGCCTCGCTGTACAGGCAACACAGGTCATTGATAGAGGGCCAATTGAGAACGAAAAGTCGTTTTGGGGTAGTGTTAGGGCGCATTTGTAACCTAATAGTTGAGATTGTCCAGGGTCAGGTGCTGACTGTCCCGCTCCACTGTTCTGTAGCTGCGGTCGTTATCACGATTACGCCTCCTGTCTATGTTTCGTTGTCGTCACGTCGAAAGCATTTAAAAGAAGAAAAAAAACAATAAATAAACAAATTATAGCTACACAAAACAACGATAAATGCACAAATTTATGTTACAATCATGCTAACACGATCCGTCATAGCGACAAAAAACAACGATAAATACGCAAATTTAAGATACAACCATACTAACGCGATCCGTCTTGGAGGTTATGTTTACACAAACTGAAAAAAATGTAAGTTGTAAATGTAAGCCAGTTTGCAAATCTACGCGACACGCTCTTTCCAATGAGACGTCAATGGGTAAAATCGGCAAAGAAATGGCGGAAGAGTTCAACCGACAAAGTTTCATGTAGCGTATTAATTATATAGATATTAATATTATCAAACTAATAATATCAACTCCTTAACCAAAATAGAATAAAACGTCGTCCACTCACCACAAGTGGGTCACGACACCCAACTTAACACCGACACTCACTGTCACTCGTACCGTACACTTCTCTCTACGTACACCACCCAGTCGTCTCCACAAGACACCACACTATCCTCACTGTCCGGGATCCACGACTCGAATGTCCTTCTCGGCTATCCGGTAGTCCCAGGATACCCAAGCTTATCCGAACTGATAAGCCGAGTCAAAGGGCGCTAGCCAGGTTCGCCGCCGCCGCTTGCTTACCTCAACAGACGCGCAGCCCAAATAGCAAATATTTACCCCCCTAGGAAAAATAACTCGTTACACAACTGTAAGAAACTTAGTCTTTCAACAAGCTTTGGATGACATGTGATTGGTTGTCGCGCAACAGTGCACTTTATTCTCATAAAAACTTAGAAGTAGCACCACGTCCAAAGCCACTACCAGTTTCACGACGTCCAATAGCTCAGCGCTGTTGCATGACGTCCAGAGCTCCTGCTTACGGAGCAAGATTAGAGGTAGGTTTTTTAGGAACCAATGTTGTGTTCTTCATTATGTAGCCTAGGCTATAACAACGGTTTGATAAAATTTTTAATAAAACATTATCTCTATTTCTTCTACTTGGAGGTTTTCTATGACATCCCTAGATGTTTCCATAGTTTACAAATCGGTTCTTTTGATGATTGATCAAGAAATAGGCCTATAGTAAAATTGTGTCAACTCAGTTTTTCTTATTTGGTTAAACATTTCAAATTGCCCTGGATTTCTCGCCTTTTTCCATCATAATAACTTATGTACGCAAACCCAGATTCAGATTAGTAAATATTTCATTTAAACTACGGTACGTCAGTAAATGTGTGTATCACGAATTTCCTTGAATTCTGACTTATCAAATCAAATCAAAATATTCTTTATTTTTAGTTTAATTAAGAAAATACAATAGCGTCATACAATAATATAACTTAAAACTAGTACAAGAATTGGTGCTTAGTACAGCTAGTACAGTCCAACCTCGGTAGGCCTATAACGAATCTGAAGGGGCCGAACTGAGTATTCATTATATCAAGGATTTCGTTAAAATGAGGTTCGTTATATTGAGGTTAGGTTTGCAGGAATTTCACAAAGTTGAGGTTCAGAACCAGCATCAGGTCGGGATGGGTCGGAATTTGACCTCATTAAAACACAATTAAATTAGCATAGGCTACAATACTTTACAGTACAGTGTTTACATTGTAAAGTAGAACCTCGATTATCTGGGGTACTAAAGGGTAGGGATCTTTAATATTACGCAATCATGACATTTCTAGTCTTTGACCTTGGTACAGGTTACAAACTGTAAGTTTAAAATCACAACTTACTCTAACCCACCTAAAACCTAGCCAAACACTGTATTGTATAGCAATAAAACACGCAAAGAACAAAACAAAACATTAGATAGTTTTGTAAGCTACTGCTTGTGATAGGCCGGTAGGCTACAGTTCTGTTTTAAATCACAGCAGAGGAATGTCAATACTGTAATAATCATCAACTATAACATTGGTGTTGCCTTAGTTCGTACACCAATCACGTATTGTAGTAAACAAATCGTATTGAAAATAATAAAATATTAGATAAGTCGTTATAAAAAGGGTATAATCATAGTCAACTTAAAGATAATAAAAACACTCGTAAAAGGAATGTAAAGATAAAGATATATGTTGCTATTCTTTCTCTTTGATTTGTTCTCCTATTCTTTTTCTTTCTTAGGTTTCTCTTCATCCAAAAATTGTACAAGTCACCATACTTACTTTTATCACTCAATCACATTTTACTAAACATTAACGTCGTCATCAGTCCTCAGTGAATTAAATCTGTTTTCTCTCAGTTGTAACATAGCGCGCAGCGACGACAGCAGACAGTGATGTGTAAACGGAGCAGACGAATGTTGGCGCAAGCGTTGACGTCACATTTCCATTTCATTTGATGAAGAAACTGATTTTTCAAAAACAATAATGTTGGTGGGGGGTTCGTTGTATTGAGGGAGAGACGCAGACAATTCCTCAAGTAGAGGTTAAATTCGCTATGTAGAGGTTCTGACAATGATAAATTCCTTATATTGAGGTGTCTTATTTTAGCCGGGATCATGAAAAATTTGTTAAATCAAGGTCATTGATATGGTTTGTTCGTTATGTAGAGGTAAAACATACATGGTGTCTAATGGAGAGTTCTAGGGGATTCAAAAAAATGTGTTATATCAAGGAATTCTTTATATCGAGGTTCGTTATATCAAGGTTAGACTGTAGCTTAGAATATGGCTTAGTACATATTATAGATGGACTGTAAAATTGCAGGAAACAGCGTTTAAGAGGAGACTATGACAAAATTTTTATTTTAGCCTAATTTAAGTGGGTGCCGTGCTTAACAATATGATGAGGAATTTAGTGCAAGTTAATGATTCAGATCGGATTCGAGTAATTCCTTCAAGGAGTAAGCAGGTCTGTCTATCAGCCACTTGTGAAGCGGTGTTTTCAGTGGTTTTCTCTTCAGTGAATGTTAAACTTAAAATGTTAACAGCAATTAAATTACGCAGAGGATAGGCCTACACGTCCGGTAACCGGACGTGGATTAGGCGTCCAGCAGTTACTGTCATAACCTAACCTAACCAACAAAACTTGCTGATAATAAAGAAATCAAATGAAGGTTAAATTCTGTTCATAAAATCAAATTATAAATGCTAAAAATTCTAACAAAAGATGGACAGTTAAGAAGAAATGGCATTCAAAGCAAAATCATTGAAAAAAAGTTAAAATTACCGATGGGATTCGAACCAGGAACCTCTTGTATATCAGCCGAGCACTCTATTCACTACAACACGAACACCGATGGCTGTACATCGTGATCGTATCATTGTGGTTTTGACGTTCCGGGTCCCCACAACCCGGTGACGTCACTACCGGAGGCCTAATCCACGACCGGTTACCGGAGGCTTATCCTCTGTGATTAAATTATCCAGCTGACCATAATGTAAACAAAAAATGATGATAACATAGGAACTTTAAAGGCCAATGGGGCAGAGCCCAGGGGACTTTTTCAACATGTAAGACCTTGTATGACATCTACTCAATGAGATCTTTCCAATGAACCATAAACTAACTTAAAACAAAATCAGTTGAGAAACCACAGAGGAGTTCTGCCGACAAAAATCGTGGCTTGCCTATTTTATATAGATTTAGTACTTAATTAAAAAGGTAAACGAAGCTCAGCCAATTAATTCAAAGTTCAACATAAAGATCTAGGAGCCCTCTGAGTTCATGAATATTTATAAAATGTAGGCTACACCTACCTAAGACCCTAAGTTACTGTTAAGAGTTAAGGCCAGAGATGCTTGCTTAACTCTGAGCAGTTAAGTTTATAGTAAAAAGGTGTCATTTAACTTAGGTTCCTATTCATGAAAAAAAAAAATTAAAATACCTTAGTTATGTGTAATTTGCAGAACAAAACTTGACTACAAACTCTACTCTCAGGTCATAATAGGCCTTAGCATTAAGAGTATGAATTTTGAAATTTGTTCCAAATGAATTCATTACACTATAGACACGTCATTGTGGTACTAAACTTTAATTACCAAGCAAAATAAGCTTTAAGTCTAGTTTTTGCGTTACCTGTTATCAGATTAATTACGTTGAGGTATGTAAATCATTTGGTTGAAAGCAAAATGACGTCTGTTATGGCCCCTTTCTAAGACTGGTCAAGGTAAACGATCTTCCAACAATTAATCGGTGACATCAAACACTAATTTAAAATTAGTAATCTAAAAAACAAACTCATTACTTACTGGTTGGACGCGGCCGATTTCTAAGTTGCATTTGTGACAAAAGAATCTTGAAATTGCTAAATTCTCGACTGCAGCTTCCTCAGCCATTTTCCGTAATTTAACCTAATCCTAAACCTAAATTCGACAGAACACAGAACCAACCAACAACTCCAACTTATCAACTGTGAACTGTACAGAAAAAAATACCAAATCAAATCAGACAACTAGACTTCTTCGGTATAGCCAACATAACTTTTAGATAAAGTAAAAGCATTATTATAATTTAGAAACGTTAATACATTTAACCATAGACTAACCAACACGGGGACAGCTCACTTACTCTACAGATCATAGACTATACGAGCTTTTTAAATAATATTGAAGGTTCACTTGCACTACAGGCTCGTATACTATACGAGCCTATCGAAAATAAAAAGTAAATGAAGAGGGTTCACTTACTCTACAAATCATTGTGCCTATGAGCCTCGTGTATTATATTTAAAAATACAGTAGGAAGGTTCGCTTACTCTACAGATCATAGTGACTATGAGCCAAGCTTACGAATTATTTGATAATTCAGGAATCGGCTCGTATAGTATACGAGCCAAAATAATGAATAATATAAATTATAGGAATAGGCTCGTATACTATACGAGCCTGCAGAAAAATATTAGATGGCTCACTTACACTACAGATCATTGGCACAATGATCCGTAGAGTAAGTGAACCCTCTTCAAAATATTAGATGGCTCACTTACTCTACGGCTCATTTAGCTACTCGTTGCGCGGTTTGCGTTCGTGAAACTCTAGGCGCTATGCCCGGCTTCGACTGCTGCGACTGCCTACATAAGTGTATTGCATCACCTCAATTATTTATTAAAACGAAATAAATATGTATGCACAAGTAAATTTATTACATTTTTGGACTGAATACTTTAAAAATGGAGGGAGCATAACTTTTATGTTTAATTAAATTAAAAGTTATAGAATAAAACATATTTTGACTATGTGATTTGATCATGTTATATAATACACACTTGTATGATCCAGATACAGAGCTACAGACAAAACCTGTGGTCCGATTTAGATTAAATTTTGTATCTGGATTCATCCACGAGTCACTAATTTTTTAACCACGGGTTGAGAAATAATGGCAAAAATTTATAAAACAGTTCACCAGTTTAGAATATTTCTCAGTTACTGTGAGTTGCAAAAAAGTGTATACAGAAGCATTTGTGTTCACAGAAAATATTGAGGACTAGATGTATACAGAAGATATATTAAAATACAATACGCATACAACTATCAACGTTTACATATGTAAAATTAATTAATTTGTTGTGGTATTGAGTATTTTTAACATTATGACGAAGCCTTAACAAAATATATTTTTTTAAGGAGTTCTAGGGTGTTAAACTATATTGTATTTATCTTTTGTGGAAGATTCTGTCTACGATTTATGATTGCTAACAATTTAATACAAAGATTTAAGTCTCTGTACGTGAAGACTAAAATCACGAAACAAACTTTAAAGGGATAGAAAAGATTTGATCAGGAGCTGGCGTTTGATACCTTTTGGGAATAAATATAGCCTCTACTTCAAAGGTATACATGGTGAAGTAGCCTCTGGAAGTCCATCTTCAGGTTAACAAAAACGTCAATAGGTCATCTAACCAATTTGGTTAGATGACCTATTGACGTTTTCTGAAGATGGACTTATTTTCAAGTCCGAAACTATAGTAGTGTATTACTGAAGAAGGATCACTTGACTAAGCCAGGTAACTTAAACCATTTAGCTTAAAGTTATACAAGTTGGTTTCACACCAACATTTCATGCACATATGAAATCTATATAATTAATACGCGAACACGAAGTTTGTCGGTTGAATCCTCCACCATTTCTAAACCGATTTTATCCACTGACGTCTCATTGGAAAGAGCGTGTTGCGTAGATTTGCAAACTGGCCTAAAATTTTTGAAAAAGTCCCTTGGCCTCTGCCACATTGGCTTTTTATTAAGTTCCCATGTTATCCTTACGAAGAACATAATATTGTTTACATCAGCTGTTTAATTTAATTGTGTTCTTTGTTTTTCAATTCAACGAAACGCATTGGTTACATTAACTGATTTTGTGGAAATTAAATATCTATCTATATATTAATTACGAAAGCCGATTCTTTGCGTCAAAATTGTGGGCGACTGGGTAGTCGTAGAACGACGGGAGAGGGTTCAAATTAAAGGTCTCGATCCCGGAAAAATAGTGAAATTCCCCAAATTTTAACACAAAATTAGACATAACCTTTGACTTAGTCAATGATATAACGTAAAATGTTCTCCATAAGAATAGCATTAGAAGCCATTTGTCTGTTGATTTTTGTTTACCTCAATACAGCTGATCGTGATTTATCATTAAGCCAGTAAGCAATATTACATTTGGATTTAACTAGTTTGCCAGTAAATTCTGCAATGTACTGTATACTATATAAAACCAGGGATGACGTTACATACAATTGAGACTTTTGTCGTTATGTCTTAGAATGTTGAAATTAATTTTACTGTGCAATTTGCAAATTTGTGTATTTGTATGTAAATTAGCCAAGCGCATGAAATTTAGTAGAATCGTGGGAGATGGTTAAAATCATAGTAAATGGAAGTAGAATGGCTGAAATATTTAAGCTTTGGTTTTTTTTAAAACATATGTTCACGAAGTTTACAAAGTTATTTTACTTTGATTACATTTCTTCACATTAGTAGGTTATTGTTGTGCTGAAGGAATGTTTAACATGAAATAGCCCCATTGACTAAATAATCAACGATGCAAGATTAGTTAGAAAACTTCTGTTTTGTTTTTATTTCAAAACATATATTGAAAATTTATTCAAAACTTTTGTTTTAAATTTCATAACATTTAATTTGACACGTAATTGTAGTGTTTAATCTATACTTTGTATCGAGTGGAATAACCTTAACAGTTACTCTAGAGAATAACCTGGGAATAAAATTTGAAATAGGTTTGTACAGGCAATACATATATTCCTTTCATTAATTACTATAACAAATTCCAATGGGCGGAAAAATAAAATTGTTTGGAGTAGATTTTAATCAGGTATCTACTGTCTGTTGCTCCAAGGAAAAAAGGTTAAAATAATATAGCCCAACATGCATTGTATATATATATACAATCTATATAGATAGTGAAGAGAGAATCTATAACAGTAAACCCTGGAGGTAGTTTTCGATTCTTCATGTTTCACTAACCAAAAATATGTACCTATATTAATTGCTGATGAATTTGTTTTCTTGATTGGTTTCATTAACATGATAATGGAACCCTAACCAATGGCAAAAAAAAAGAGTTAGTAATCAGTCGATGATTAGCTTTTTTAACTGTAGGCTAAATAAATAATATAAACGGTAAAATGTTTTCAAAAAAAATTTACATCCATTGAATGAAAAATAATATACTATTAACATGACTATAGCTGATATGGCTTAGCTGTCGGCTATCTGTACATTGCGTCATAACAGCAGACAGCGCTATGTTATTAACTTAAAAATTATAACGGATTAGCAAATAAATACTTTACTATGGTCTTAACAAACTATGAACCCACTGAACGTTTAAATTGGCCAATTTTAAAGAGAGTATAAATTCAACCACAGCTTTAGGAGGAATCCCACCACATAAGCTGACACAGAGAGTAGTTTATATTTTATGTTGATCAGAAACGAAACTAGGGCAGCCTTTACACTAATTCAGTTGTGTCTTTACAAAAGGAGTAGAGCTATAATATTAGAAATAATAACTGGGCCAGGGTACTAATATGAGTACATGTATTATTGTAGCACTGTATCGATTCTGACACATAGATAATTTTATTCTTAGTTTGTTTAAATATTACAATAGTTTGTTTTACATTTGAGCTTTTTAGGGACTTATGTCCCTACAAGCCACTAGTTGATCAATATAAAGCCCAAAGTACACATGAACTTTTGTGAAAACTACAAGTCATACCCCCATAAACCATATACTTAAAATGTTCGTCATGACGAGAAAACTAGTGCAAAACTATCCATTATTTCATAAACTGCCCTTAAAGGTCGTAATTGTTGTCCAAGGAAACATAGGAAAGTCATAGAACGCCACCAAGTAGCAGAAATCGAGATTTTTTAAAAATATTATCGTTATCATCCTATATAAAAGAAGAACACCTACAATATGAAGATTCCCACAAACAATGAACAAGGATGTTATCGAAAGTGCTACTATTTTGTAGGAAAAACGGACTTAACCATTAACTTTAGGATGATTTGCAAAGGAAACCCCTCTAATGCCGAATTAAACCGGTACGGCAAGGACATTATATATTTTTTCATAAAAGTCAAGTGATATTAAAATAACATGACTACATCCAAGAAACCTTAACAAAACTTGCATTGAAGGATTCGCATTATTCACATTCAAGGGAAACAAAAACCCATCTGAACAACATTAGGGCCTTACAATTCTGCATATTTTCAGGTAAATATAACTTACGTTATAACAGTAACTAGCCAAATTAATGCCAATATATCTATCAAATATTACAATATGTATAATTTTACACTAATTTTTAATGAAACAGTATGTATTTCTTGTAATTTCAAGCAATACATAATGGTAATTTGTAGGAAATTTTATTCTCTTTCAGAATATCACGCTCCACTTTGGTCGATTTCCTCGCCATTTCAAAGTTATTTGCAAAAACGTTAAGCAACCTCCAAATGTATAGTAGTGAGAAAATACTGAATTAAAGATGTTGTTTATAAGCTTTGTACAATTAAATCTACAGTTCTACTGAACCGATTTTATTAATTAATAGGTCATTGGATAGCATAATTTGTGAATACTGTATTTGCAAATAATTATGAAAGTACTGTTGAGGTTGCAAGCAAGATCGTTTGGATATAAATCGATGATAAAGAACTCAATTTTTTGAACAATTTGTGTTGGTCGTGATTTAGCTGTGTGCTTTAATGAAATGGGAGTGGTATTTCAATGAAGGTTCTTAGGTCAAAACAAATAGAATAACGTAGTTAGAATTAAGTAAATATATTTAAAACTAAATTCCATATCCAAGATATAATACAAGTTTATACTTTATGATTGAGCGATACAGTATCTTGAACTTAACTGAT